ATGAGCTGAAAACTGTAGGGGAAGTGAATCCATCTCAACCTATGCATGAATTAGCAGCAAGGTTTGATGTTACTATTCTAACAATATTAGACCACTTGAAATAAATCACTAAGGTAAAGCTGGAAAGATGGGTTCCCCATGTATTACAAGCATCAAAACAGAGATCATCTCAAAGCTTGCTGCTTCAAACTACAGAAGCTGACTACTCTCTGTCATCCACCATATTCACTAGACCTTGCACCAACTGACTACCAATTCTTCCAGGTTTTGGACCACTTCTTGCAAATAAAATAGTCAATTCTCAAGCTGTGGAAAATGCCTACAAGTTTTCATCGACACCTGCTTTCTGGGCTTCTTTGCTGCAGAAACAAGCTACTATTAAGGTGGCAAAACTGTGTCAATAGTTTAGACACATACTTGAATTGTACTGCTTGTTTGAAAAAACTTTTGATTCAAAAGTGGACATTTCACATTTAATGACTTAGTAGTTCTCTATAGCATCCATCTTGTCTATATAGAGTTTAGAAAACATCCAAACAAGTTTGTTTGACATTACTTGCCCTAGAGAAGCCATGTAATCAGGGATTACTAACCTAAGTACTAAAAAATATCAATAGTTATTCCTGCATTTAGCCTGAGATACACAACATTAAGAGTTTCATTCTAGAATCCACCCTTTTGTCTCCATAATTTTCCAAAGGCTAGCTGCAAAGTTTCTCCATAGTCTAAGATATAAATTCTGGGTTTTTTTTTTTTGCCAGGACTGGGCTTGAACCCACCACCTCTGGCACATGGGGCTGGCGCCTTACTCCTTTGAGCCACAGGTACCACCCTCAGATATAAATTCTGACCACAGAAATATATTTAAAGCCATTAAATATCTTAACTACTTTGGATATCTACTTTGAACATTGTCAAAGACAATTTGGTTTAAAATATTTATCTCTGTGAACACAGCTAATGGTAACTGAAACTCTTCCTCTTGTTCTTCAAAACACCACCAAGCCCAATTTAGCTTGTATTCATTAAACAAGTCTCAGCAAACTGTGTATACTTTCCAATCAAAAGAGCACCTTATTAGTATACTAGACATAAACATTTCGGTTCCTCAGTCATTTGGTTTAGGTCATGTAACAGCAAGAAATTAGGGTGTGAAGCATGCATATTATGCTGGTCTGTCAAGTGTTTAAAAGACAGCAGAGTTGAGTCACATAAATGTGCTAACCACCAACAGAACCAGCTTATCAGAAGAGAGTAGCAAGCCAATGCTTCCAATAATGGTTTTCCCCAGAACGAGTAATTTAACATTTTTAAAAAGTTCGCTGGATGCTACTCAGAACATGAGGATATCATCTGTCTTATGTCAAATGTCCTTTAAGGGAAGTGACCATGGTTGCAAAGCCATTTGGAAACAGCTAAGAGATCTATATAAATGCAAGATTACACATAGTAAAGGACCCTCTTATCTTCTAGCAAAGTATTTAAATGCTAATGTTAAAAGTATGCTAATGCTACAGTCCTTATTAAATTGGACAATGAATGAATCTGAAGTGTTTCTGAAAAATGAGAATTTCCAGATTCTTAAAAAAAAAAAACCTCTCCATGTTACAGGAAAAATAGGCATTAACAGTAAACTAGGGGGAAAGGGTTCGGACTGTGGCAGTTAACTGTACAAATTAGGTCATTCTTGTCATATGCAACTAAGAGTAAAGGAACTAGGAAGAAAAATGCTTGAAGCACATAGCAGCTGCTCCAAGAATAAAATTTTCCAAAGCCCAGCTACTAAAACAGCCTGCCATAATCTTAAGATCAGCTTTACATAGCTAGCTAATGTGACCTGTTGTTTTACTTATCATTGTCACCCATCAGAGCTTGCCAGCTCCCAGATGCTTCTCTGGTGCAAATAAGCTTTCTTTCAAAACACATTTTCTTAGGGGTGGGAGGAAAAGGGTGTCACTGTTACCTAGGCTAGAGCGCAGTGGCAGTGATCATCGTAGCTCACTGCAATCTCCAACTTCTAGGACCAAATGATCCCCCTCAGCCTCCCAAGTAGCTGGGACTCAAGGTGCACACAATCATGCTTAACTAATTTTTGCTGGGACTTCAGGTGCACACAATCATGCTTAACTAATTTTTCTGGCGATAGGGAGGGTCTCGCTATGTTACTAAGGCTGATCTCTAAAAAAACCCTCAATATTCTTTTTGTTCTTTGAATATACCAAAGATCACCAGTCCATGCATATGCCCCAAATTGTGATTTGTTTGCTTCTCAAAGTTTTAAATCTAGAGATTTGTCTATTTTGACTTTGACAGGAGACTTTATTACACTGAATTGTTCATCATATGCATTGGCAAAAATAAGGGGACCATCATATTAGATTTCAGCTAATTATTGACTTGTAGGCATTCAACTCATGTTGCCAGCTTCTCATTTTTAAAGAGAAACTAGAAATCTGGATTTTATGTAAAATCCTCCAACTTTTAAAAGTTGACAGCTTTTCAAAGCACTGTGAATTTTGAACAGTATTCCTGTATAAGATCACTCTGTTTGGATGTACCCTGAATAAAGCATCCAGCCAAGAGGTGAAATCAGGACCTCCAGACAAGGGACTGTGCCTGTCTACCATAAAAAGGGTGCCTTTTCCTGATTCTTGCAAAAGGTCCTCATACATGGTGGCAGTCCAGCTTCATGCCATGTATCTACAAGTATAACTTTATTCTAACAATCCAAGTTGCTCATCTGCTAGGCCATTTTATTTCCCTAGTACTAACAACAGATTGCACTTGGCCTTCCTATTTTGTTTAATGATGTATTTGTGAAACAATCTTTAATAGTGGAAGGCACTATTAACTGCATGCAGTAGTATGAGTAATATACATGTGTGAATATGTATTCAGCGGAACCCTAAGGATATGTGACCAAATAAGGCAAGGGTCCTCAAACTTTTTAAACAGGGGGCCAATTCACTGTCCCTCAGACCATTGGAGGGCCAGACTGTGGGCCCCCGAGACGAGTTGGCTGCTAAGCAGGACAGGCAGCAGTGGCAAAAACACCCGGTGGGCCAGATAAATGTCCTAGGCGGGCTGCAAGTGGCCCGCGGGCCGTAGTTTGAGGACGCCTAAAATTAGGGATACAACAGCAACAATTGTTTTTGTTAGTAAGCTTACATAATTATCTAAGACTTAGAATAGCAGTTCTAAACGTGTGGGTCATGACCCCTTTTTAACAAGTACATTGCTTTTACCTGGTTATGTATATGTTTTCTAGGGTCATTTCCATTATTAAGAAAGTTGTTTCCAGTAAAATTTAGGCTTATAAAAATAGTCATTGGTGTAGGATGGTGTTAAAACTTTTTAAAAATTGATAAAATGTTGAAGTACAAAATAATTTTCAGCAAGGTTTTTATCCCCTAACAAGAGCACACAATAGATATTGGCACACATTAAATATTGGCACCTAACTATTGGAACTCTATAACTACATAAACCTAATCACGGCACAGAAATATGCATTTTGCTTCCAGTGCTACTTTCTCAAAGTTCTGCTCTATAATATCAGCTCAGTGGGGTTTGCTATAATTAATTCATGTCTGTGATGCAAGGTATCAATTACTCCTTTAACATCTTATTTTTTACATGACTGGGAAGAAAAACCACAAAGAGAGGTAGAGTACAAAAAGACATTATCAGATGTATGTTAAAAATTAAATAAAAAGATTTACTATCTAGTCTCTCTACAGTCACTTTAAAACTATTTTCCTCAATTTATATTTATGTGATTTATAGCAAAAAAGGTAACATATATGACATTTATTTCCATGAAACTTATTAATACTAATAATTACTTTAAGGAACACTGAGTTAGAAAGATAATGAAAGATAAAGGACTTTAAAAAGTAGATGTAACAAAGATGAAAATTTATACATCAATGTCTTAATTATAGTCGCTGGCTTCTATTGCTTAATGGGAGAAGCCAGGGCTGCCACCCAGTGGCAGTGTAAGTCTTTAAATGATTTTAAGATTTGAAAAATATTAAAACAATGAAGTAAAAAAATTCATAAATTATACAATTTCATCAATAATTCTGTTGTCACAGTAAATGTCTGTTTATAATGTAGCAAAGAAATAAAACATTCGTATAGGCCGCATTGTAGAAATTTTTGAAAATGTTGTATGATGTTCTACTGTTTACTAAGTTACGTAATTTTAATAAGTATTTCCAATTAAAGTATTGATGGCTCAAATTTAAATTTTCAGAATTAACAATAGGGAGGAAAATATAACTGGAGTTCTTTTGTGGCCTATAGAAACACTACTTCACAGTAGCCTCTCATCCAAATACCCAAATTCTTACTTGAAAAGCAAAAAAATACGATTTAAAAACAATATAATTTTCTTCAACTATATCCTGATACCCCGTGTATACATCAATTTTAGTCCCAGTACACAAAACTCAAAGTTAAAAGGAGGCAATGAAAATAGGAAATTATTGATGTTTAGAATAGAAAAAAATCAAGAATCTCAGTGCCTATTTCTCCAAAACTTGGCCATAACTTACTTTATACAGGTATAAAATAAATATTACAAGATGTAATACAAGACGTCCTATTATAAGATGCTTTGGTAAACTAATACTAGGGAATAAAAAGTAACAATAGAGTATCCATTTACAGTTTGAAAAACTATCTCTGAGACTAGTTTGTTCTCTTAACCAGATGAGAAATAAAAAAGAAACATTCCCAAGAATTTAGTTATTTTGTATCCAAGAGCTATAAATTAAAATTGTACATGATAAAAATAAATTGTACAGGATGTTTTCTAACTTATGTCCCATCTGTTTTGCCGTACACTGAAGAGAATTTTAAAAAATAATGGCAGATACAAACACTTGGTATTTACAATGACATGTGATAAATACAATACCTGAAAATAATTTCTAATTTTCCATTTATTATTGCTATTTAGTCACGGAAAAGATTAACACTCTCCAAAAAATTTATTTTAGCATATGTCATATATAGATATAATACTTTTATATGAAGAGAAATTATGGCAGAATAGGGTGCCTTTACAAGGAAATAAAGGAAATGCAAATAAAGGAATTCTTTCATATAAAAACTTTTGATCTGCATTATTTGATTCTTTTCAAGATACAAAACATTAATATTAGAAGCAGAGAGAAAAAACAATAAAAGAACAATAAAACACAAGACCAAGGATAGGAATTGTTCTATGCAGATGCATACATAGCGTGTGTGTGTGTGTACGGGCTGAGTTATAATAAAAATACTTATGTATTTTAGTCAAATCTCATGTAGAGTTAGAAAACACAATTTCCAATCAAGCATGACTGGACCACCATCTTCTAAGTCTTCAATTACATGACAAATTAAAGCTATGCAGCAGTCATTTCTGGTCATCAGCATCATGACAAATGCTTGACAAGATATAATTTTTCTCCTTGTTCACTTGTAAAAATTGGTGCCTTTTTATAATGTTCTACAAGTTCTTCCATTGTGCTGAATTTACGCTGCCCAATGCAGTAGACAGTCTCTTTTAGTTGGACTTTGAAATGCTTGTTTTTCCCTTGTGCTTTCAGTGATACTGAGAAATCATTTGGCTAAAAGAGAAAAAGAAACACATATGGTAGACATGTCAATAAGCACTTTTATAATTAAACAAATAATAGCTAAAACTTGAGCATTTACTAAGTACTAGGTACCACACTAAGTTATTTACATAGATTATCTGCTTTACTCCTCAAAACAAACTCTTTTTACAGTTAAGAAAACTGAGGCTCAGGGAAGCTATCTGCCCAATTATCAACCATCTATTTAACAGAGACAGGATTCAAACCTATGCATTCAAAAATCTCTTAACATCCATGGCTCCCATCGCATATACCTACAACAAATCCTTTGGTTTAACATTTTAAGCACAAGAGCTTTCTTCCCTCTCTCTAGTCAGACAGCTGGAGAAACCTATGGGAAAATCTAAGACAGCTAGCCCTTTTCAATTTGTAGCTATCAGTAGCTGTTACTGGGATAACACTATGAATGCTCAAAAATGAAGGACACATAAATGAGAATCTAATTCTAATGAGAGGCCATAAAATCAAATGTCTACAAAAGACAAAAGAGTCATGCAACCAAGTGTCGAGGTGGAAAGGCAGATGAACAGAGGGAAAAACAGTGTATAGACAATCTAAAAAGTACCCACTTCTCAGCTATGACTGTTGCCTTGCAGGAAGAAGGGCTCAATGTTAGCAGGCCTTCCAACATTAAATGGAAAGCCTAAAGTCTAAATTTTTGTAATAAATCTACCAATATTTAAATATTGGCAATGAATTCAAATATTTAAAAAAAAAAACATTGTTAGGGCCAAACATAATGTCCCTATTTGAGACCTCTACCATAAAAATTATATGGCTAAAAATAATGGTATACCGTATTTTTGTGATTTTTGGTTTTGTTTTTTAAAAAGACAGGATCTTACTGTGTTTCCCAGGATGGAGTGCAGTGGCAAGATGATAGTTCACTATAACCTCAAACTCCTGGGCTCAAAGTCTTCAAAATAGCTGGGACTACAAGCATACACAACCACACTAGCTAATTTTTTTAAATTATTTTTTGTAGAGAAAGGGTCTTGCTTTGTTGCCAAGGCTGGTCTTAAACTCCTTGCCCCAAGTGATCCTCTGACCTCAAACTCTCAATGTGCTGAGATTATAGATATGATCCACCATGCCTAGCCTTGTGTTTTGGCTAACATCTATGCTTGACTATCCACAAGAAGATACATATCAGTCTGCATTTAGGTTATTCTTTTTAATGAGGGATGCTTTTTTCTCTCTAGGATAATGAATGAACACGAGTGTTTAGGGGTTTTTTTTTAGTTTTTTTCTTTGAGACAGAGTCTATGTCACCCTCCATAGAGTGCTGTGGTATCACAACTCACAGGAACCTCAAACTCTTGGGCTTAAGTGATTCTCTTGCCTCAGCCTCCCAAATATCTGGAACTACAGGTGCCCATCACAAAGCCCGGCCATTTTTTTTTTTTTTTTGGTCATTGTTGTAGTTGTCATTGTTGTTTGGCAGGCCCAGGCTGGATTTGAACCCACCAGCTCTGGTATATGTGGCTGGTGAGCTATAGGTGCCAAGCTGAGTGTTTGTTTTTTCAATCTAATAGTCTTCTCAACTGCTTGTTATCAACCTCAGAATCCTCTTTTTACAGAATTACTTCTAAAGTTTCAAACAGTGGGTCAGATTCACCATCTAAACGAAAATAGATCCCACCACCCCACCCTACTATGATCTACATATTCTTCTGAGGAGTTAGGTACAGACCCACTTTCCCAAACCTCTCCTTGGGAAGTTCAATTAATCTTCTTCCGTCTCTCACTCTCACATGTTTTCTTCAATCTTTCAACCTTTTGCACAATTATACATTCACTTTTGTACAACTACACTAACACAAAGTCAACATTAATCATGACTTGATAAGTGGAAAAGTAGTGATATCCTTCATCAAGGAAGAAGGGCCATTTTTAAGAAAAGTGATCAAATCCTAATATTCTAAACAGTACCCCAAATTACAACATAACTGTATTATCCTTTCACTTTTAGGGTTTTATAATGTTATTATTTATTAGTATGACAACATAATTTACCTTTTATTGCAAATGCATTTTAAATACAGAAACAACTGGAAAGAACATTGACTTTAGTTTTTGAACATTTATGCTTACATCTCAGCTTACTACCTGCTTAAATTTTAGGGAAGCCACTTAACTCTTTCAGTCTCTCTTTTTTTTTTTAATACCCAGAACTATATACTTTAGAAATCAACTTACCGAAGATTCACTATCACGAATAAGGAAATCCCCTTCATGCCCTCTTTCATTTAATGCCATTTCTGCTTGATGCCTGGTGACTTTGCCATAATACCAAGGATTGCCAGCAAACTTCCCAGTGAGTGAAGGCCTAATGTAATCACACTGCGGAGGTGATGGTTCCAAACCTGAGGTTAATGGATTATTCTGCATAATGGTAACATAGTTCTTTGGCACCAGACCAACCATTCCATTGATTTTCCTGCATTTCCACCACTCCGGGTCATTTTCAGGTTTTTCAATAACATCCATTACATCTCCTTTCTCAAAATTAAGTTCTTCATCATTGGACGAACTGAAGGGGTAAAGAGCTTGTACCACATGCAACACTTGACCAGTATTTAGGTTACTGACGACTGCTGCTAATTTCTCTGACAGAGAACCCACATGGTCACCCAAAGGACTGTCACCTTCTTCAGTTACATAGTTTGAAGGGAACCATCCAACTTGTCCATTATAGCTACCCCGCCACCACCCATCACTGCATTTCTCCATGACGATCACCTTTGTCCCTTTTATCAATGATAATTCATCCTCCCTCTCAGCCATGTAGTTAAATTTCACATAAGCAGGCATGTTGAGATCATAAAGACGTTCCCCTGGGTCAACAAAACTATCATCAGCTGGAGATGCAGAATCTGGTACACTAGGTTTTCTTTTCACTTTTCCAATTCCTGTTTAAATAAAAAGGAGTGATAAGAAGAGAATATAAAACAATGATTATCAAAAATCCCCATGTATTTATTAAAAAAGAATCAACTCTGTATAGTATTTTTTATGCCTTTAGATTTAGACAACAAATTTCTATTGGGTACAATCATCTTTTTGGAAATGAGATATAAATGAAGATTTAATTTCTGTTATATGACAGTTTGCCTTCTTATCTTTTCTCTTGTCAAAGGCACTGAAATAACTAAAGTTAATGTATTTTCTCCTAATTGTAAAACATAGATTTCTCTCTCAGCTACAATCAAGTTTGCATGCTTCTCTTGGATTTATTAACCTAGATTTACAATTAGCTGTATAGAAATAAGACAATGGCTTAAATTAGAATTTGATATGCAATATAAAATAGCAATAAAGTAGTTATGTCTGGGTAATCTTCCCATTTGCTTAGTTTCCAGACTCAGGTAGCTCTACCTCATGTTTATTTTAAAACATATGCTCAGAAACACACACACACCCCTATTTGTCTCTCCACTCCCACTAATACCCCACATTTTCATGTAACCTCCACCAAGAGCAGGGATTTTTGTTTACATCGTTCACAGATATAATCTCAAGGACCCTACATAGTGCTTAATATATAGTAAATACTCAATTTGCTGAAAGAAATGAGAAAAAATCTCCAAACGGTATCATCAGCACAAACATATGCTATGTCAACTTTAGTCAGACATTTCACTGCTGTTCATTTCTTACCATGTGATTTTGGAGATTTCTAGGCTCTGCTTTACCTAGAAAGTTGAGGTTTTCCTAGACAAAATTTCTCAAATTTCTTCTCAGTCTCAAAACTTTGTCACTACCTTCATTCTTTCTTCACCCAAGTCTCTAAATCCCAATTCTTTCCGCGTTCTTAATATCATCTTCCTGTTATCTTGGGACTCTGTGCCATCCTTGTTTCTCTTCTCCCAAATAAGGTCACTTTAACTCTGATATTCCTTTTAAACCATACCATTCTTTATAAAGTTGTCTTCCCCTCTTCCCTCAATTTTTTTCACAACTCATTCATACTCCTAACTTTATAATCTGATCCTCTATCTCCATTGTTATACTAAAGCTACTCAATTAAAACCAATCTTACAAAAACTGTGTCATCTCCCTACTGCCAAATCAGTACCTTTCACTTCTCAGCCTTCTCAAACTCTCTATGCAGCAAACAGTATCACACACCACTCTCTCTATTATATTGTCTTCTCCTTTGAGTTCCCTGAGGCTCCTATTTCCTTGTGTCTCTCTCTTTTGGTTCCTCTAAACCTTGTTATTATAAACTTTATTGTACTTGGTTACCAGCCTGTCTTTTTAAAAATGAAAGTGAACTCCCTAAGGGTAGAAAACTAATCTTATTCCCTTGTATCTCCAGTGCTCAGCACTATCCAGGTTAGTAATATGAACAAAGTGAATGTTTACTGAGTAAGTGAATGATTTCTTAGTTGAAAGTGTTTCCCAAGATGCCTTAATCTTCTCTTCTAGTGTAAGAAAATTATATACTTTCATTTTCTATGACTTACTGCCCATTAAGTCACTCTGTATGACCATGAATCCCTATCACTTTGATAACCTAGAACATGTATTATTTGCTTCTTTGTTCCTGGGTTACTTCACTTAGAATAATGGCCTTCACATTCATCCAAGTTGCTACAAAAGACATTATTTCATTCTTTTTTGATGGCTGAATAGTACTCAATGGTATATACAGTAGAATCTCTGTAAGTTGACCAAAGGGACTGTAACAAACTGGTCAACACATGGAAGAAGTCAACATGTGGGAATTGGGCCTACAGTAGTAGTACCTGTAGTTAACAGGTACATGTAGTGCATGTTTGGTCTACGAAAATCAGGTAAACTTAAGGAGATAGTCAATGTAGGGAGGTGGCCAACTATGTGCATGTGTGTATGTGCCCTAATAATATATAACAATAACAAAAGATGAATACAAGTCACACTGAGTACCTCTTGTAATTGCAAAAGTCAAATGTGAGTTGAGTATTACAAATTTAACACAGTCTTTTCTCAAAATGTGTATACTTGTTTTGTTTGTACATATGTACATAACCCTCCATCAAGCAACAACAGAATATAGTACACACTTTTCTCATGTGCACATGTTAGGTCACAAAACTACCCTAAATAAATCTGAAAATGAAACCATACAAAAAATCTTCTCTGACCATAGAAGAATGAACCTAGAAATCAATAACTGAAAGGAACAATGGAAAATTCACAAATATCTGGAAATTAATGAACATATTCTTCAAACAACCACTGGGTCACAAAGAAATTTCAGGTGGAATTAGAAAATACTTTGAGACAAATGAAAATACAACATACCAAAACCTACAGGATGCAGCAAACACAGTGCTCAGAATGAAATATATGATCTCTAAAAGCTTACATAAAAAAGATCTCAAATCAACAACTTAAACCCATAACTTAAGAAACTAGAAAAAGAAGAAACTAAACCCAAAGTTAGCAAAAGGGAGAAAATAAAAATTATAACAGATATTTGACTGCTCATGAGAGGGTTGACATGAAAAGTATCTTTAAATAAAAAACGATACAGCAGATATATAGAAAAGAGAACAGATAACAGAAGGAATCAGCAAAACCAAAACTTGGTTATTTGACAACAGCAACAAAACTGAACCTTTAGCTAGACTAATCAAAAAGATGGGGGATGGGGAGAGAGGGAGGACTCCAATTATTACACTAAAATCAGAACTGAAGTGGGAAAATTTCTACAGACCTTACAGAAATTTTAAAAAATAATTATGAGCAAATACTATGTACGCCAACAAATTAGTTAACCTAATTGAAAAAAGTCAATTCCAAGAAAGACACAAATTACCAAGACTGACTAAGAAACAGAAAATTTGAACAGGCATAACAAGTAAAAGAATCAGTAATCAAAATTTCTCTATAAAGAAAGCCCAGGACCTCATGGTTTCACTGGTGAATTCTACCAAATGTTTAAAGAATTAATACCAACAGTACCCTAAATACCTAAGCCATCACAAGAAAACCTAATATCACATATAAATATAGATGCAAAAATCCTCAACAAAAGTCAGTTGATTTTCACTACTAAAGTAGTTACGTTCTATAAAGTTACCATGAATACTGAATTAGCAAATTCTGAACCCTTGTTCCTAGAGGAAGTACAGAGTTAGCCATTAGTCACATTACTGTTAACCAATTTCTACATAATCTTATTTTATGCCTGTTTCTCTTTAAAACACTTTATATAAATTATGCTTTATTCACACTGACTTCACAACTAAAATCACTATAATTTATGCCTGAGTGAAGCTTATCTAACATACATTTTTTTCCATAAGGCAAATTATAGCTTTCTTATGTTTTAAAACACTAGACAACACTTAACACTATGCCTAGAGGGTATCTTTAACAGCAAATTCACCCACAAAAAAGAACAAAAATGCAAAAGCACTGGATTAAGTAGACTGTGAAAACACATTTGTTTATAGTAAGAGGTGAAACAATGCAAAGCATTACCTCAATTGGGAATATGCACATCAGGCAACTCAAGTCTGACACACTGCACATGTACACACAAGCACTGTATCAATTTTGAGTTTACAAATAAATTTCATCAAGTAGGTGAATTCACAAATACAGAATCTGTGAAAAGTAACTATCACCTGTTCTAGAAAAACAAATCCAGCAAGCATATTAAAAGGATCGTATATCATGACTATGTGGGATTTACGCAAGGGTGGTTCAACATCTGAAAGTCAATCAATGTAACACACCACATTAGTAGAATTACAGGGAACTACATAATCACGTTAATTGATGCAGAAAAAGCTTTGGATAAAATCCAAAACCCTTTCATAATAAAAACATTGAGCAAACTAGGATTAGAAGGAAACTTCCTCAACATAATAAAGGGCATTTGTGAAAAACACCACAATCAATAGGGAAAGACAAAGCTTTTCCCCTATGATCAGCAAGCAACAAGGCAAACATGCCCTCTTCCACAACTTCTATTCAACACTGTAATGCAAGTGCTAGCCTGAGCAACTGTTGAGGTAATCCAAACTAGAAAGGAAGAAGTAAAATGATTTTTATTCTCAGATGACACAATCTTATAAACAAAATGCTAAAGAATTCACACACACACGCACAAACAAAATCATTAGAATAAATTTCAACAAAGTTGCATGATACAAGATCGACACACAAAGATTACGTGCATTTCTATATACTAGCAAAGACAATTCAAAGTGGTAGTTAAGAAAACAATTCCATTTATGGCATTAAAAAGAATAAAACACATAGGAATAAATGTAATCATTTAAGTGTATGACTTGTATACTGAACTATAAAACAAAGATGAAAGAAATTTAAAAATACCTACATAAATGGAAAGACATTCTGTGTTAGATGGCAACACTATCCAAAGCAATCCACAGATTCAATGCAATCCTTATCAAACTTCATCAGCTGGTTTCTAAAATTCATACAGAACTGCAAGGGACCCCAAGTAGCCACAACAATCTTGAAAAAGTTAAACCAGGCGGGGAGACTCACCCCTTCTCATTTCAAAACTACACAGCCACAGGAATCAACAGTGTGGTACTGGTGTTCAGACAGACATACAGACCAATGAAACAGAAGTAAGAGTCTTATACCTTTATCTCTGTGGTTAACTGAGATATAGGTTTATTTTAAGACTGGGATAAATGGATATCCACAGACAAAAGAATGAAGTTGGACTCCTATTTCAGGTCACATACAAAAGTTAACTCAAAATGGATCAATGACTCTTAGAAGACAAGACAGGACTTACATCCATGACCTTGGACTTGGCAATGAATTTCCAGATACTGACACACATACACACACACACAAAAATCAACTGTACTTTACTAAAATTTAAAACATTAGTGCAGAGGACCCTATCAAGAACACAGAAAGGCCAGGCACAGTA